TTTAAACATCCCCCCCCCCCCCCCCCAACCCCAAAAAAACCAATTTTTACGTATATTAAAAAAATTAGTTATTTCCATTAAATTTTATTAATTACATAATATTCTTCTTAAATTGTCCTTATTATAAATATTAAAAAAAATAATGTAACTAAAGGTCATACATTAAAAAAAATAAAATTCCTTATAATGTAGAACTGAGAGAATATTTATTATGTCAACAAATCTTATTACTAATACATATCTCTTAGAAACATAATATAATTTTTAAAGAATTTAATACGGCGAGGCTAATTGTGTTGTATAAAGTATATAATCGAAATCCGTCTTTAAAAGTTGAAACAGCCTCGGGCTAATCTTTAAGTCAAGCCTGTCAAACTTAACTTCAAGCTAGGCTGGAGAAGTGGGACAACTAATAAACAACCATAAATTTAAATAAGTGACACCAACATCTCTTTATACCAAATGTCTAAAATACTACTCACCCCTCCTTTTTCTTAACTATTGCATTAGGTGATGCTCTTGCAAACCATGTATAAAAGAAATTCTATATTTAGGAGATTTCCCCAGAAAAGTCATGTAATGTAGGTCGAGTCCTAACCCGTGCTAGTAAGAATTATTCATGAAATGATATGGTATGAAGCCAATTTTCGAATAAGGAGTAAATAGAAAATGATTCAAAAAGGGCAACTCTTAAAAGTGTTAACACTGTATAAACATATTCTATAGGAAAGAATTGAAGTCTTATTACCTCCGGCCACACCATGGAGGGGTCTGAGGAAGTGACAGAGTCCGGACAAGGACCTGAGTCCTGACTCATATAAAAGCACAGTTACAGACTTTACGGGTAATAGTAACAACTTCTGCATTCAGCAATTCAGATTATAGTTTGAAAATGGTATACAGTCATTTACATGAGGGCAAAAACAAAAGGATTGCCTTTAGCGTTTGAAATTACAAATGGAGAACAAACTTGTGTTTGATCTTTTAATCTTCTCTGCACAACTATACATGAAAGCCTTTCAAGAGTAAAATACAACATTGAAATATAAACAAACTTAAAGACACCTCAGCATTTCAAACTCTCAAATCTCAACCATACATTCCTTCACGCTCCCAAACATCCACCAGGAATTCGACCATTTCCTATTTATTGAAAATCAAATAATCATTTGTAATTTTGCATTCTCACCTCAAAAATCCCAGCAAGGAACCATAAAAATACACAGGACACTTACAGATAAAGGGATGGGCTTGGGGAATGGTTGTCTAGTCCCAAGCAAGCTTTCGTAAGTTGCATTCCATCTACTACAAACATAAATTTACTAGGAATTAAGACAAAGGGAAAACAAATATGATGGAGACTAGAGCTTGTAAAAATCCATATAAACCGAAAAATATCAATGAAGTATTGTGTTTTGGATAGTATGTGCTTCAAGATCTAAAAATATGCTTAGTGCTTTCAACTATTGTTAAATCGCACAAATAAGAAGAAGAAAAAAAACAACAATACAAGCAAAAAGGTAAAGGTTACTGTTTGGCAGTGAATAAGGTTGTACTTTGAAAGATTGTCCAACGAGTTTAATAAAGAGCCAGGCAATAAAAACTTCTGATGGTTATTAAATTACTCCTTCTAGCGCCACACCCACCCCGCCCCACCAAAAATAAAATTAAAAAAGGAGGAGCGGATCGAGCTGAGCTAAGATCATGGGCTTGTGTATCTAGTGCGGGTTAAATATTAATTGGTTAATTGGGAAAATTGAAATGCAGTTAACATACTTTAGTCTGTGTTCTCTTTTTTGTTGGCTATGCCTCCTAGATTTGCCACTTCCAATCCACTGAAGCCTGCTTTCATTCCAGAGAAGAAGACCTGCAATAAGCAACATGTATGTATAATAGAAATAAACCTTAACCTTTACTTTCCCCTTAAAGCTAGAAAATTAGGAAAGTAAGTCTTACAAATAATACACAATAGTAAACAGTAAAAAATGGTACTACAATAATATATCTATCCAAATCCAAATAATGAACACAGACAAAACAAGTGGAAAATATCATATGTCATGTTTCAGCATCTTTGTCAAGCAAACCATGGCTAAATGATTGGTCCATATGGGATGAGGTTTGATCCATCCACCACTTGTCAACTTTCCCCTTCCCAATCTAGCTCCATTAGGGGGCATCGTTATATTACCCAAAAAATAAAGAAGCAAACAAACAAACTCATGCTTAGCTAAAAGTATATATGAACGTTCCAATATTAATTACTAGGAAAAATAGCAAAAACCAATATTGAACTTGCCTGGGTTTACAAACTCAGGATTGGTGCCTGCAGTAGAAGTTCCTCCGCTGTGATAGAGAATTTGATTTAATGTACTGGCAGACGAGATACTTCTCTGAGATTGAACATTGCTGTTATCCAGATCACAAGTGCTTGAACTCCAGAAACCATCTGATATGTTTGGTTTTCTCACCGTCTGCCCCTGAATTCTAAGTCCCTTTGCCGGCTCATCCACAGCAATAATTGGTGTGGGTTTCATGCAGCATCCAAAACAACCACTGTTCTGTATAGAACAAGTTAAATAACAGCAAAACAAAGGCCAATGTAAAGTCAACAAGTGCATGTTGCCCTCACTGTGATTTCTTTCTTTTTTCTCAGATTTGTTTCCGAAAGCACTATTATAAAAAATGATTATTAGAAAGAAATAACACAATTTTAAAAATTATTGTATTGCTTCCTAGGAGAAGCACCAATTTCTTGCTTCTCCTTCATAGCAGATTTCCCACTTTTTTTTCTATTTAAAAAAAAATAAGGTTTGTTTGGATAAATTTCTCCAGAAATACTTAGAGGAGAAATATAGGAAGGAAAATCAAAATTAATTTATGCACAAGCCAGTTTTAGTTTATAAAAAGCTTATTTCATTTTTCTTTTTTACTTTTGTCTCCTAAAAATGATTTTAGAGAAGTTTATCCAAATAGACTCAAAATAAAACTTTGGCCCAACAGGACAGCACCTCAAAAAATGAAAATAAAAAATTCTTTTTCCCGCACAAAAAAAGTAGTTTTCATTGCATGCAAATCACCACTGCCTTTCTTTTCTTGATCCACGGTAGTTGAAAGTTGAAACATACTGGTTGGCGATATGAGCCAACAAAGTTTCATTGTTACCATCTTATGGTTGGCACTTGCTATGCTTTTCAAGACAACTAGTGAATAATACAGAAATTAGCTCTTTTTAAGAAACTTGAACCAAAAACTTCTTATGTATTTGCTAATGAAGGCATTCTCTTTTAAAAGATTCTGATTAAGTAAACCTCAATCTTGATACATACTTTGAGTTATCCCATTAAAAGTAAGAAGAAGAAACAGTAAGGATGGAAGAAGAGAGTTCTTCATACAACTCTCCAGCAGACTGTATTAAACAATACTACCAAGGCTAGAATGATATATAACTAAGGACTAAGGAAAAAGGAAAAGGGAAAAAGAAATTCCTCTTCTTCCATGCCTCATTTAATCACTCATTAAGAAATAAAATAACTCATCTCGCTAATGAATGTTGGTTCATTTTCTAACAAAAGCCTCGCAGTAGACACCAACAAGGATGAAAAATAACCATCGACAGAGTCAAATTACCGCACTAATCGCATTGGTTCGAGTTGTCAACGCTAAACACCTAAGTTTGGCCCCCAAGACGACAACTTTACTCTGAAATCCCAACCCTGGAAGGCCTTAGAGGCAGGAATTGAAAGGTGGAGGGAAATCAGCCCTAAATTGAGATTTGCCCAAATTGCGGGTTATTGAGAAGTAAGTTAGGGATGGTTGCAGAAGAGAGAGCATTGGATTGAATAAAAGGAAGGAAATTGATTAGAAAGAAGAGTTAAGCATGCAATAAGAGTATTGGGAATGGAGGGGCTCACCCCATGCAAGCGAAAAGGTCAGTGATCCAAGCGGTAATCATCAGCATCATCAAGAGGAAGAAGGCAAGTTTGAGAGCAGAATGGGGTTGCTTACCTTTTTATTTTATCGTGTCTGCTGCACTACTGTCACTGTCTGTCGTTTAACGGACGCTTAACTTACCAAGTGTCGTTTATCACAATACCAAGGCTACAAAGATTATTAGCGTCTCTTTTATTCTCATCATATTAATACTCTTCCCACTTTCCTTTTTTATTTACTTGTAAAGTAAAACTCGTTCAACGCAAAACGGTCCACGCTTTGATTAAGACTTTAAAGACAACCACGACAGAGAAAAAAAACATATTCAAATTAATTAGTGATAAATAATACAACAATTAATTAGTAAAAATAAAAAAAAATTAAAGAATGGGGCATTGACAAAAGTCAACGCATGTGTTTGATTTCTGAAATCCCTTCACTATTGGTGCTTGTGGGACAACGATAAAGAGCTAAGACTCCTGTAATAGGTAGGGGTTGTTTGGTGAAGTATTGAGGAATAGAATAAGGTTATGTCTAAAACTATCACACGAAGGTGTTGGTAGAGAGAGGGAGACAGCTAATTGGTATAGAAAAGGAGGAATATGTTTCAATAATTGTTGCTAAACAAATTGGGGAAACGAGTCACAAGTAATTTCGTGGCTGTTTTCTTGCTTGCTCACAAATGGGGAATAAGAGTTGTTGCCTTTGAGAAGAATAACTTTTTGACCAGAGTTGTTGATTTTGGGACCAATTCAATTTAGTGATATTCATTTATATTTATATATATACATGAAAAAAAGTTTAACTAGTTATCTAATCTTTAATAGAAAATCTCTATTCTCAAACACGCTTTTTTATTCATCAGATTTAAACCTTATTTAAAGAATCAAAGTTCAGTTCACTTGAGATGTTGGTTTCATGTAATGTTATTTATTTCTTTTCATTTTTTTTATCCTCTTTTCTTCTTATTTTGTAAAACTAAAGTTCACATTAATATATATAGATTGATAGGTTTCGTAGATTTTAAAAGGATACAATAACTATTAATATTACTATACATGACACTCGAGTCAAAAGTTCATTCATTATCCGCTGACGCTTATACAAATGGTCTGTTTTAATGCAATTAGGTTCGGCCAACGGAACTCTGCACCTTTTTTCTAATGGGGTACAGGATTCTTATTTTTTTAACACCCTAAAATAATTAATACACTGATGTACCCAATTAAAAAAATTTAATACACCAACCAATAATTAAATACTTTGACTAGATTTTGAATTAGAATTTTGGTCACTAACCATAATAGTACTTCCATAATTTTGAACATGTACCAGAAAAAATAAGTGCATATAAAAGGAAGATGTCCTAGATAAAGAATCAATCACATGTTATCTCTCTTGACATGAAAATTTTCTTATATATTATTGAGGGTTATATTTTTCAACTTTTATATCTACTTTTTAATTTAGGAATCGATCATAATGTTTTTAGAAATTCTTATAATTCTTTATATAATTCAATTTTTATTTATCATATTTATTTATGAATTAAATTTTAATATTTTAAAATAAATTATAAATAATTAAAAATAATATTTTGTCATAATATAAATTATTTATCTTAAATCAAAAATATAATTTATATATTT